AATTTATTGAGGCTTTTTAATTGCTTAGCATATGGCATATATAAAGTTAGGTCTAGTTGGTGGGTTCTATCTCATTTAACTTTTGTCTACTTCTATTATTGAAAGTGGTATATTGAAATTTCTGGCTATCGTTGTCTATTTATCGCTTCAATTTGGTCAGTTTTTGATTCATGTATTTTGAGGGTCTCTTTTCAGTGCATATATGTATATAATTGGTATAACTTCCTGGTGGATTTATTCCTTTATCATCATAAAAAAACTCTCTATATCTTTGGAAAATGTTTTGTTTTAAAGCCGGTTTTGTCTGATATCAGTTTAGCCACTCTAGTTTTCTTGTTGTTGCTATTTGCATGATTTATCTTTTTCCATCCTTTTACTTTTAACTTATTTGTACCTCTGAGTATAAAGTATGTTTCTTATAGACAACATATTGATGGATATTGTTTTTATATCCAGTCTTACAATCTCTATCTTAGATTGATTCACATTTAATGTTATTATTGATAAAAGTGGATTTACATCTGTCATATTTCTTTTTGTTTTATATACGTCTCAAGTCTTTTTGTTACTCTTTTCCTACTTTATTGCTTCCTTTTTTTCATTAAGTGTATATTTTTTAGTGTAACATTTTTATTCCTTTAATGTTTTTTACTATATATTTTAGTTATTTTCTTAGTAATTGCTGTAGGTCTTACCATACATAATTTATCTTATCAAGATCTGCTTCATGTTTATATTAACTTAATTCCAGCGAAATATAGATATGCTACTTCTATATAGCTCTATTCCTTCTTTTTTTTACAATTATTGTTATACATATTATATCTAAGTATGTTAGAAAACCAAAAATACATAGTTATAATTATTACTTAACATAATTTTATGGCTATTATAGAAGCTGAGAAAAGAAAGGAAAACAAGTATGTGTCTGTAGAGTTTGCTATATTGACCTTCTTATTTCCCATTTCTGGTTGTCTTCATTTGTTCCTGTGGGTTCAAGTTACCACGTGGTGTCATTTACTTAACCCAATACAAGTTTTCTCCCGCTTACCTCATCTGTACTGTTATTGTCAAATATATTACATTTCTATAGTTATAGGACCAACAATAAAATTATATAATATTGCTTTATACAGTCACTTTAAAAATCAGTTAAGAGAAGAAAGGGAAGGAAATGTGCTTTTAAACAGTCCTTTATAATTATATAATTACCTTTACTGGTACTCTTTGCTTCTTGTGTGGATTTGAATTGCTGCCTGGAGTCACTTGCTTTCAACTTAAAGAACTCTTTTTCATATTTCTTGTAAGATGTGTCTACTAACAATGGATTCTCTCAGGTCTTGTTCATCTGGGAATGTCTTCATTTCACTTTCATTATTTTTTACTGAGGTAAGTATTACATAACATAATTCACCATTCTAACCATTTTAAATTGTAGAATTCAGTGCCTTTTAGTACATTCACAGTGTTGTGCAGGTATCAACACTATCTAGCTCCAGAATATTTTCATCATCCCCAAAGGAAACCCCAAGCCTTTAAGCATTCACTCTCGCATTCTGCCCTCTCCTAGTCCTTGGAAACCATTTGCTTTCTGTCTCTATGGGTTTGCTATTATGGATACTTAACATAAATGTGATCATACAATATGTGGCCTTTTGTGTCTGGCTTGTAACTCACTTATCGTTCTTTGCCCAGCCTCATGAAGTTTCACTTTATATATGTGTGGTTTAATATATAGCGACAGACTCAAAGGAAACTCTACGAAGATTCTTGGAGAATGTTTTTCTGCACTAATCTCTCATCCCTGGTACTCTCCCCAACAAACTCCAGCCACCTCCACCTCTCAGAATTCCAATCTCTGTCTTGTCAACTCAGGACATCAAACTTGCTTCTCCTCCTGGTGCCACCATCCATAGGGTGTCTTTAGTCAAAATCCAAAGCAATTATAAGGCTCACCTTGATTGCTTCTCTTCTCTCAGGCATCTCATCAGGCATCACTCCTGTGCTGCCAATTGTCCAGAGTCTGAAAACAGTTGTAGTTGTTTGATATATTTGTCCAGTTATCTAGTTCTTCAAGGCAGGTGGATATGCCTGATCCCAGTTTGTCCATCATTTCTGTCACTTGGTTTATTTTAGCATATTCTGTACAATTCAAAGATGGCTTGCTTATAGAATCCCCTCACCTTGTGTGAAGCCATATTGGAAAAGGAACCAGTAAGTCAGCCTGGTGTCCACCTAACCCACAGGAAAACTCACCCATCTTTGCCATATCAAAGGTGAGAGTACACTATGTATCTATCTTCACGCTGCCATGTCTTTTGGATCAACAGAATAAGTAGTGATCTAACTGGGAACTGTACACCAGTACCCGCTTCTTGCAGATATCTCTCTGTATGTGATTCTCTTAGGGCCTCCACCTCCACTTGGTTTAAAAGAGGCAAGAACTGCACTCTTCCTTTCATCCATGAGAAAGGGATAGAATTGACATTCACCATGTTCCAACCCTGGAAGCAGAGTACTTTAAGTAAAATTCTGTCTCCATTATTCACTGTATGACTTTGGACAAGGTACTTAACCGCTGTACTCCTTAGTTTCCTAATAATGGTATTATGAGTATTAATACATTTAGTACATATAAAGTGCTTAGGAGAGTGCCTGATACATAAAAAGTATTATATAAGTGCTAGGTATTATTGGCGGTGGTGGTGGTGGTGGTGGTGGTGTTATAATGAACAACATTGAACTCCCCACAAGGTCAATGGCTCCCACAATTCTTTACCTTTTACACTTACCTGACTCCTTATACTGACTTGGGGGAGGGAAGGCTGGGATGATTGTTGTAGGTAGTAGAGCTGGCTTAGATGCCTTTTGGTAAGCTCTTATGAAGGTATCTGGTCCCAATTGTTGGAGTTTCCTTTCTTGAAACGTAATGCCTCTTTGTCCTCACCTGTGAGTGCCATCAGCCAATACTAGGGAAACAAGCCAAATCTAACTCAATGTCTTACTTTGTTTACATTTGCATGTATTTTCATCCCAACTTTTACTTATAAATGGGGATGTATTCTGTGAAATGTTTAGAAGATCAACTAAAGCTGTCCCTATCTAGTAGGATTGTTAGAGGACGAAGTAAAATATTGCAGGGCAGTGATATGATCATATCTGTTGTTCGAAATCATCGTTCCATTGGAAGGTGGCAAGATGTAAAGCAAAGAGACCAGTAAATGTTGTTGTAGTGGTCCAGGAGTTTATGGATACTTGCATTAGGGGAGTGGCAGTGGAGCCAGAATGGGAACTGGAAGGATTCCCAAGATCCTTAGGTAATCATTGAGACCTGTCATTTATTGGTTCACTTGGTATTTGTCAGTCATGTACTAAATGCTTTATATAAATTATATCATTTGATCCTGACAAGTCTATGAAGTACTTGGAACTATCAGCCTCATTTAATAGATGAGGCATAGGGAAGTTTTAATATCCAAGTTTTAGATCCCAAGTTATACCACAGGTAAGCAAATGCAATTAATTCAGACTCAGATCTGTTCAAAGCCATGTTTCATACTACAATGCCAAAATCAGCACCTGGATGGATCCTTCCAGCCATTTGAAAGCTGTTAACTCTAACCATCTGCATGAAAAACTGTTCACACAGGATTCAGGAATTCCCCACCCCACCAACAAATTTTTTGCCTCTATCACAACTAACCATTCTTTAATAGCTGTGAAAACAATGCTCCACTCTTTTTAAGACCTCTTCTCTTTCTTAAGTATCTTATGGAACTATTTACACTAAACTGGTTAGTGGCAACTTTGTGTTCATAATGAACCACAGTCTTCCTAAAAAGAAGTTTTAAGAACACATCCCTCTTTCTGTTGCATATATTTCAAGCTAACAAAATCAGCAACAACAAATCCACTTAGATTAGTACCAAAATCGTTAGCAACAAAAAGTTTAGTGTGATAAGTGACTAAATGTGGCCAGTTTTCCGTCAGTGCTTCCAATTTCCCAGTGTGGCTGAATAAGGTCTAAGGAAACATAAATAGGATGGAGATGTCTGGGAGAAATGAAATACTATTTGATTCTGAATAAGAGTGTTGAGGAAAGGTGGGATCTTTTGGACACAGTATTGAAGGAAATAAAAGGGCATTGTACAAATTGGGATACTGAGATAAAACTAGTAAAATTTTATGACTGACTTTTGAGATCTGAAAATCTAAGGGCAAGGTGCTGTGGGATTATGGCCTCAGTAGCTCACCTAATGAAAGGGATTCACATGCCCAGGAGCACCTCAAAAGGATGGGCCTCCAGCTGCCCTGTACATTTTAAACTTGCAAAAATGTGTCTGCCTGGAGAATCTATATTTATCTTATAACTCAACAGCAGAAACAGGTGGCTGGGTCTTTTCATCCTCCTATCTTAAATCTTTTTCCAAATGTACATACCGTTATCATATCTCTGATTATTAAACGAATATAGTAAGTTTATGGAAAAAAATGGAAACGAATAGGAAATTATCAGAACAAAGGTAAAAAACACAATCCCAATCATTGCTTCCTTTCCTAATTTACCCCACTTCCTCCAATTTGGTATCGAGAATTGAACTGCAAGGGAAAAGGTGGCTATTAGTGACTGGAGAGAGGGTGGATGGAGGGAAGACTGCTACCTTTCTGTTATTGTAGCTTAGAAGAGGATGAGTAATCCTCTCTCTTAATGCAACCACTAAAAAAGTAACAATGGTTACTATGACTATGGGAAGATGTAGGCCTTCTCTGGTAATGAGAGAAAGGCAAATTCCAACCACAGGGAAAAAAGGCCACTTTTGACCTCTGAAATTAGCAATGACGAAAATGAGTGACAGGGCCTGGTGTGGTGGGAGGTGGGAGATTGGTAAGCCGTTCCACTTCTGCAGCACAGCTGGTGGGAGGGGAAAGTGGGGACCAGAGTTGGAGAATGACATAATCCTCACGTGACCAGGAGCTGACGTGAAGTCCTTATATTCCCGGGCTTCTTTCTCCTCTGGGTACCAGCTCCTTACTGCCCTGAAGCGTTCGTGCTTTTGGCCAAGAGAGGGAGGACGTAAATTCCTTAAATCCCAGCAGGTTGGTATGATGGAACCGCTGGGACCCCTGGGGTGGTTGTGGATGAATCTAGTGACTGGAATAGGTCCAGGTTTGCTTTCCCCAAACCCCTGCAAACTCGTCGGAGATAACTGTATTTTTGTAAAGGGGGAGGGGCTGGAGTAGGTGGAAGCCTCGTGAGAGACACCCAGAGATTGATAGTTTAGAAATAATCAGCTTCTCTCAAATTGGCAAGCTTTCCCTTTATCCTTCTCCTTCTCTTTCTCCAATTATGTTGGAGTAAATGAGGTGTGGGCTGGTGTGTGGAGAACGGTTGGAATCCTGGGGTGGAGACAGAAAAATTTACAGACGATTTGAAAATAGTTCGTCTCGTTCAATGCATGCCTGCGAGGGATTGTGGGGGTGGTGGGGAGGAAGGGAACAGTGGGCCTTGCAAGGACTAGGCCTGAGGGTGAGGGGTGGGGGACAGAGATCCAGGAGGAAGAGATAGGGACGGGGGGGTGGAACCAGGAAGTAGAAAATTATGGGCGAAGACAATTACGAGGATCTCGGATTCAAGATAATATCGTGTGTCTTGTCTCCGGGGCTGGTCGATCAGCAGAGAACTCCCTCCTCCCCGCCCCCTCCTTTTCTGTCTGCAGGTCAGAGGGTCTGTGTTCACAGACATCTCCAGGCAAGAAAAAGAGGAGGAAACTATCCCGAATCGTCACAGGTTAGTGTGAAGGAGGCACTTAGACCCGCGTCTCTGAGGGTGGAAGTTGGGAAGGACGAGAGCTGGGTAAAATTTGCTTCCTCGCAGCTCAACTCCCGGTGTGCTCCCCTTCTCCTGCCCATCTGAGAGACCATTAGCCTCTGCTGGAGAAATGGGGGGTTGAAGAGGGAGGGGAAAGAAGCGTGGGGCAACTTGAACTTCTAAGGGCTGGACCTGTGTGGCAGGGGTGGGAGATTAGGCGAGCATCTTGCTTCAAAGAGAAACTAACAATCTTGAATCGAAAGAAACCAAGCAATCTTACTCTACATTTTCTCCCCGGACTTAAGCAGGAAACAACAACATCATGCAAAAACCCTGCAAAGAAAATGAAGGAAAGCCCAAGTGCAGCGTGCCAAAGAGAGAGGAAGAACACCCCTATGGAGAATTTGAACGCCAACAAACAGAAGGGAATTTTAGGCAAAGGCTGCTTCGGTCTCTCGAGGAATTTAAAGAGGACATAGACTATAGGCATTTTAAGGATGCAGAAATGACAAGAGAGGGAGATGAGATGGAAAGGTGTTTGGAAGAGATAAGGGGTCTGAGAAAGAAATTTAGGGCTCTGCATTCTAACCATAGGCATTCTCGAGATCGTCCTTATCCCATTTAATGCATTCTCCCGAATTCAACTATTTTCTTTTATTGATATTGCTACCATTGGTTTCTTTTTGTTTGCATTTTCTTGCTAAATATTTGCTACCATTTTACTCCAATCCTTCAATGTTCATTTGATCTACATATGATTCTTGTTACCAACATCTCATCTTTTGACTCAGTCTCACTCATTTAATAGGGATGTTTCATTCATTTGCATGGGAAGATGCTCATTGTATATTGTAAAGTGAAAACAATGCGTTGCAAAACAGTATATATATACACACACACACACATAAACCTTATATATACATTTATATATGACATAATGTAAAAGAAAATGAATTATTATACACCCAAGGGTTAACAGTGAATCTCTGTGTGATCTGTATTTTATTCTTTTATTTGTTGCCCTATTTGCATCTTCTCGTTTTTCAAAAAATGAATATATATGTGTGTGTATGTGTATGTATTACTTGTGTCACAAAGAAACTAAAATAAACAGGCACAATAAAAGAATTTGTCAATCACCTTTGAAGGGCAGTGAAACACTTAATAAACTCTTAATAATGAAACCATAAAAAAGAAATGTAAACCTTAAATTACCTCTGGGTCCCTTAGCCAGAGGAATAAAACGGCAATTATTACAGATACACTTGCTTAAGACTCGATCTTTTTGTTGGGAAAAGATTTGCTTGCCAGGGCTGCTGAGGGGAAGAACTGAGGTGACTCAGCTGCACTTGGTGGGCTCTTGTTCCTACCTGTGCATACAGAGCCCCAACCAGCTATAGAACATCAGTTATTCGAGGGAAGGCCCTGGCATGACTCAACCTGCTCAAGAATAAGTCCAATAGGCAGGGAGGTGGGGCCTTCCTTGTCAGTCCCCTGCTGTTGAGCCTCACCCTGTCTCTTCCCCTGGGTCCTGCCATGCCTGCTGGGGACTGCTGCCTCTTCTGCTGGGTCCTTTGCTCTCTGCTGGTCCCCACTGCTGCTGGCGCACTGGAGTTCTCGAGTGCCAAAATCCACTGAGTTTCCTGGAGTTCCCAGTGGGTTGAAGCCCCACTCTGTCTTCTAAAGCCTCTCTCTCTGCTTTGTTGTGACACTTAACACAGGCGGGGACTGTTCCGGGATTGCTTGGGCCTCAATGTTTTGCAGAGTTCTTAGCAAAACAGCCCCTTCCGTTTTCAATCCCAGGACCCCTCCTCTCCATAGGAGTCAGACATGATGAGTCCATGTTGGGAGTTGGACAGGGGTACAAGATTGAGTGAGAGATATGCTGTAGTCAGAGTTGCTGCTCTAAGTCTAAGGACTAAGGTTTTGTCTTCCTTCTCTTGTGAGATGATCTCTCCCTGAAGGCTCCTAGCAGGCCTGCCTTGGTTCAGAAGACTCTTGGGGACATGTGTAAGTTGTACAAAGTGATGCAGAAAATGGAATAAGGAAACAATCCTCTTCTTTCCATCTCTTCCTTTTCTGAAACATATGTAAAAATTCTTTGTAAGACTATTATATATATTACATATGTAACATATATGTTACATATAGAAATATATACACAAATAGAAATATATGTATATATACTTTTAATGTATATATGTACATACATGTACTGTATATATATGTGTATATATATTTTTAGTCTTACAAAGGACATATATGTATATATACACTTAAGTATTATTTCTTAACTGGAATTTTTCATTTTGCATCTCAAAGTAAAGACTATGTCATATATTTCATTACACTTCTGTTATTAGTGTGTGTGCTGTGACTTACATATAGTGGGTACTTAATAAATATTTACTTCACTAGAATTCTAGTGTTCTCGGCCCAGGTTTACTTCTGATTGCATAAAATTGGCAATAATCTATTTCTCTAGAAACTATAACTTACATTTTTAAAAGGAACCCAACAAGAAAGGGATTAATCCTCAAATTCAGTCTATAAAATTATTATAACATTCTATAACTGATGTCTCTCAAAAAGTCAGCTCCTTACATTATAATCATCTGAAGTGCTTATTAAAATGCAAAATTCTAACGCATATCTCCCCATACAAATACATACCTTTACAAACACACTAGTCAGAATCTCTATGCAATTGGCCCTGGCATCTCCATTTTGGGCTTTTCATGAAATCATGGTCTCCATTACTGCTTTATAAACCCTCACCATAGACCCTATTTCAGCTGAGCAGTGCAGAAGTAATCTCCTTATAGTCAAAGAACCCAATGGTTTATAATTCATAATTAAGGGATCCTGAAAGTCAAAATGGTGATTATCATAGCCTTAAAATTCAAGGTGTCCACCAAGTACATCTATGTGGAGAATAAACGTTATTCAGTCTTAGCAGGAGGCAAAAAGACAAATGAAAAATAAATAAAATAAAAACAACAAGTTGTTATCCACCTATCAAATAAGCAAATGTTTACTTACAATATTCAATTTTGTTGAGGATGTAGGCATCTTCATACTCAATGAGAGAGCAAATTACTCCCTCATACTCAATGATAGAGTTTTAAAAAATCCATTTTTTTACTACTATTCACAATAAGTACCAAAAGCTGTATATTTTGCATACTTCATGACCTAAGAATTCTATTGCTTAGAATTTGTCTTAAGAAAATAATCATAGTGGTGAGCAAATGTTTATCTGTAATCATTTTTATTTAAGGATTTCACATATTTGTAAGGATTTTTTTAATCCAAGAATCAAGTACATGGGCTATCCAATAAGACAAAAATGAATATAGATTCCTACTTACCATATACACAAAAATATATCACAGGTGGATTAAAGACGAAAATGTGAAAAACAAAAATAAAATATTGCAGTGAAAATTAAGAAAAAAACCGTATAATCTTGTGATGTGATTATCTTCTTAAGCATGAAAGAAAATCCAGAAGTTATAAAGGAAAAAATATAAAATGTCCAAAGACAAGAGATAGCCTGAGAGAAAATATCTACAATATCATGACAGATAATGGGAAAATATCTCTAATACCCCAATAGCTTTTACAAATGGAAAAGAAAAAGATAAATCAGTAAAAATATATGTACATGCCATGTGACCCAGTACTTCCACGGCTTTGTATTACCATAGAGATATAGGTACACACATGCACAGAAAAGCATAGATGGATGTTTATTGTGACATTTTTTATAAGAGCCAAAATATTGGAAATAGCCTAAATCCTCAAAAGGGAAAGGTCAAATAAACTGTGGTCTATCCATAACAAGAAAACTACACAGTAGTTTAAAACAATGAGATTCTTATATTGAAGCATCTTCAGGAATATTAAGTGAAGACATTATATATCTTTGTTACTATTGTCACAAATAATGAATCACCTAGACCATCTTAATATACTGCTTTAACCAGATCTCCAATTTCAATCTTCTCCCCACGATTAAACATTTAGCATTTTTATGGATATCCATCTAGAAATTTATATATTTCTCTTTTGCATTTTAACTAAACATTATAATGTTACATTATGACTTTCAGGAGCCCTTAATTATGAATTACAAACTGTTAGGCTCTTTGGTTATACAGAGACTCTTTCTGCACAGCTCAGGTGAAATAGGGTTTATGCTTAGTGTGCATATTAACATAGCTTTATAATTGTTGTTTTATGCATTTGTCTTTTAAGTCATATAGAAAAAAAAGAAGAGTTATAAATCAAATATGCAAACTACTTGCTTTTATATTTACCTATGTAGCTACCTTTACTGTTGTTGTTTATTTCTTCATATAATTTTGAGTTACTTGTCTTGTGTCTCTTTATTTCAGTTTGGAAGTCTTATAGGACTTTCCAGAGGTCAGTAAATAAAAATGCAAATAAATCTTCTTTCTATAGTATAAATATACCTTACGTTTTTCAAACCATTTCCTTGTTAATTAACATTCAAATTATCTCTATATTTTGCCCACTAAAAGCAATGCTGCTTGCAATTAACATGCTTGCGCACATATTCAAATTACTGGTGCTTTTATTTCTATAGAATGGATTCTAGAAAGTAAGATTGCTTAATCAAAAAGTACGTGTTCTCTTACATTTCCCAGCCTTACTTGCACATATGTTGGGGCCATCAAATGTAGCATAAGACACTTCTAAGGTTTAATAGCAATGCCGACTGAACTCTCCACTCTCCTTTCAGTAACATTGGAAACCATGTGTGCCATCTGGAACACATGGCTATGAGATGAATGCGGTCTGGATACCCAAATAATCAATGGAGCAGCGCCATGCAGAAGAGTCAATAACTCTCATTGAACTATGACATGAAGGAGTAATAAGCTGTTTTAAAGTCAGTGAGATAGCCTAGTTCATCTCAATATATTGCTTTAACCACTCAAATTTCAATCCCCTCCCCACAATTAAACACTTATCAGTTTGATGGATATTCATCTAGAAATTTATATATTTCTGTTTTGCATTTTAACTAAATATTATAATATTACGTCTACTATCCTACTGTTTTTACTTAACAATATTTCTGGAGATGCTTCAATATAAGAATCTCATTTTTTAAAGCTACTGTGTAGTTTTCTTGGTATAGATACACCATAGTTTATTTGACTTTACCCTTTTGATGACTTAGGCTATTTCCAATATTTTGGCTCTTACAAACAATGTCACGATAAACATTAATCTATGCTTTCCTGTGCACATGTGTACCTATATTTCTATTGTAATACAAAGCAGTGGAAGTGCTGGGTCACATGGTGTGTACACACTTTTATTGGTTTGTTTGCTTACCACAATGTATACCATAAACATATCCATCACCTCCCAAAGTCTTGGTGAATACTGATGCAAAAATCCTCAACAAAATACTGGCCAACTAAGCCAGCAGCATATTAAAGGGATTTTACATCATGATGAATTGGGGTTTATCCACAAAATGCAAGGGTGATTCAACATATGAAAATCAATTAATGTAATACACATTACATCAATATAAGAAAGAAAAAACACACATTATCATCTCAATTGATGCAGAAAAAGAATTTGACAAACTCCAACACCCTTTCATGAAAAAAACATTCAACAAACTAGGAATATAAGAGGATCATCTCAACATGATAAACAGCATATATAAAAAAAACTCAATGCTAAATTACACTCAGCAGTGAAAGATTGAAAGCTTTCCATGTAAGATCAGGAACAAGACAAGGATGCCTGCTTTCACCAATATGGTATTGGGCATTCTAGCCAGAGAAATTAAGCAAGAAAAAAATTAATCAAATCCAAATTGGAAAGAAGAAGTAAAATTATCTTTATTTGCA